AAAGGCAGGGGAGGGAGGGGATGACTCGAGGGTCGAGGAGCCGGCGAAATCGTCGGTGGAGAAACGAGGAACAAGGAGAAGCAGAGCCACGGCACCGTATCAGAACCGGAGGGAGGAAAGAGGGATGAAAGAGGGCGGATGTGACGCGGAATGATGGAGCGCGGACCGTGGAGAAAAATGAGAGTGGCGGAAAGGCGAGGGTGGAGGGACGCTGATGGATCGGCGCTCCTCCCTCCGTTGCACCCTCTCGCGGCTCTCTCACGCCCGACCGTCCCTGGGCTCCCACCCCCGTCAGCCACCCTCCACGTTCAGGTTCGCGCTCCCAGGGGTGGAAAAGCCCCGCAATATTACTCATAGTCGGTGGGCCTCGTCCTACCACGTCCTTCACCCTCTTCCTCTATTTTCCACCGTCTCTTTCTATTTTCCTCTCCTCCTGCTTCCGCGCTTTCATCTCTGTCCCCTTTTCTTTCTTCCTAGTCTTTCTTACGTTCTCTTCTCTTTCTCATGCTCTTTATAATTTCCTTGATTTCGCTAGATGTTTGATGTTTGTTCGTATATAATGACAGAGTGTTGTCTGTTTGAATTAGGATCAGTGGAAATTGTACGCAATGCTGGTAATACTACGTTGACTGGTTATGTTACGTTAGCTCCGGGTGAGTGTTATCAGTACACCACATATACTGAGCGTTTTGGACGTAGGACAATTGGATGCTCCATTACAGGTCTGCTCTATACGATTCATACGTAAGGAAATTATTATCATGTTTTTATAGAACCAATAACTTTATTTGAAATATTTATTTGTTGTTGTGTATATTACTTTATACATTTCTTGAATTATTTACTAATATCATTTCTATATTTTCCAGGTGTTCCATGTTATTGAATTCCCTCACAAATATAATAAGAATCGTATTTTGTTGGATCTTGACACCAAGGTAATTCTGAGAATTAATATTATCGTGCTAATATGTTATACATTGTTTATTTTGAAATTGCTCGACATTTTTCTTATATATCACAATCTTATTATACACAGCGTGCCTGTAACCCATCCTGACAGCATCCTGAAGCAGGAGCTCCACGGAAATTATTTATTCATACTCGATCTTCCGCGACTAACCACGCTTGCCGCAACCCTCGTGGTGAAACGTGCAGGGGTCGGAGGTTTATCGAAACAGTTTCCAGTTGCTGCTCAATAATATCGAACATCGAACAGAAGCCACGATAACGTGAAAATTAGCACCTCGTCGTAGGAGCTTAAACCTAACGCGTTCTCTGGATTTTTTTAGATCCAATTGTTAATCAATTTATTAAATTGGAGAAAATTCATACTACTTGAAAGATAAACAATTTCGTTGACACGAAAGTGAAATTAAAAGATAAAAATTCGGGTATCGTAAAATAAAATAGTAACTTTGAAATTATTATCGACCAATGTTTTAAATCAGAAAAATTCGACTGTGAATGTGAAGCACTTGACTCGTTACTACTCTCATTTTCCAATTTAACGTAACGTAATTGAACGAGATTGTTATCGATGAATCTACATTTTATCGGCATGTACATCGATTTGGTATACAAAATGGGTACTATTTGCATGCGACAAACACGAGGATACGTATAATCAGTCGGACGTTTCATGATGTTATGTTAAACAATTTTCTGGCAAAGCCAGTGCATTTAGTCTAAGATATATATTGACAAATGCGTGGATATTTCAGGTAAATATCGCATTTTCCACGAGGCTAAACAACCAGCATATGCACGTTGCAATTTCGTCAATGTATATACCAACGACTGAATCTGTTAGGCAAGGTCTCACCAACAAATCCGTATATTTATTTGTTGTGTCTGATGCAAAACCCATACGTTTTGCGTCCACCTTTTTTGATCCGATAAATTATAAGCTTGCGTTGCAGCGGATTCCTGTCAGCTCCGTGACACGTTTGCCAAACCGGTGATTGGTCAACGGGTATCGGTTGGAAATTACTCGTCACACTCGACGTCTGACCTTTTTCTCTCATAGCCACTAGATCCATCAAAGAAATCATATGAATTTTAATTTCTTCTCGAATTTCATATCCATTAACGTACAAATTTTTCCTCCATCTAGCAGTGAAACTGATTAAATAAAAAAAAAAAAAAACAATTAAAAATGAAAGTAGATTTTATGTATTCTTCGTAAAATATTACATTTATGATAAAATAATTGAACTGTTGAACAACCAGAGTATCTGATATGTTCATTTACAATGTCAATATATTTGTCCAAAAAGTATCTTTCTTTTACAGACACGTCTTTTATAACGATGTATCTTTATAGAAACGTGAAACATAACTTGTCGAACATTGTGACTATTTTGATAGAACTATTGAGATATGTATAATTTTATATGCTAGACTAGGTTAGCTGCGTAGTAGCGATACTTGTATGTGAATATCAGTGTGTGGAAGCATGTGTGTGCGTGGCGTCTCGAAAACGAAGGAATGTAAACTGTTCAGTTAACGGTCTGGTATCGAATAGGTATGACGCGTGCAAGTGAGTATCGATGAATATCTTTGAAATCGTTTATCAAATAAATATATAACTATTCTAATATAAATTCTAAGTGTAAATTTAGTGTTCCTCTACCATTATTTCGCCTATTCTCAATATTCTCAACAAGAACAAATTGGATCATACGTCATTTGATAAAATAATATAAAACGAAAATGTTGTGCGTCCATTATTTCCTTATAAAACGAAAGAAACTTTTCGGACAACCTGATACATTTCTTAATACTTTTCAAGATATTCTTTCAAGTGAAACCAGCCGATAAAGAGTCGTTTCAATGTTCGTCATAGGAATCCTAGTAACCCAACCTCACTGATTATGTCAATCCTAACCTAACCCTAATAACATTACAATTCACAGAGAAACTTCCATCAGCAAGAAACTCTGTAACATTAAACGCAGCTCTAAGATCCTCCAAAGTGCATACTCCATGGAGCACACAGCGGAACGACGATCGCTGTCACACGCGAAGCTGGGAAATCCTGTAAGCGGCTGGAACGCAAACAAGCGTTGGAGATTTCGTTGGACGATTCGAACACAGCGGCGACATTCACAAGCGATCCATCCGAGGTTGGCTTCAATACGAAAACTGTCGGCGTCAGAGGTGGGTTGGTGAGGGTTCGGGGAAGAGGAGAAGGAGGCTCGTCTGGCAGGTACTATCGGGCGGCAGCCGAGACTGAGCTTTTGCACGGTTAGCGCGATTCGGATGGCGGCGCCACGAACCGCCATTACTCAACTATTCACTCGGTAACGCAATCATACGTCACAAAGGCCTTTCATTTGCAAGCGCATTGTGGAAACCCGGCGATATTAATTGCCGCGGCTCGTTACCCTCTCCAGCCCTTCCCCCAGCGTGCTGCCACCGCCACCCCTCGTTCCAGCCACCCTCCGCCGAAAGCCCTCCGCCACCACGTGAACCAGGGCCACGGCTATTCCCCGTATTACGTATTCCGGTGCCATGCGGCGGCTCTGTCCTGCGTTGCCAGCCGACAACCCTCGCTTCCGACCTGCGTTTCAACCCCCAACCCCCCACACACCGCGGCACCACGCTCTTTCTAAAGCATTCTTGCGCCTGACAAATACGTCGTCCGAGGACAACGCGAGCGTAGAACGTGACTGCTGCCTTTCCGCTGCCGCGCTACGTTCGCGAATATTAATTTTTTGCCGCGATCTGCTAGGGGAACATGTCTAGCGGCGGATGAAGCAGGACAGGGGGAATGGAGGTTGTTGCTTTCTTGAAATTTTCACAGCACTTTAACCAAGGGTCGGACAGAATTATTGCTAGCTGTTTTATTTGAAGGCTATTGAGGCGAGTAATGGAAAGGCTATGGACACAGTTTCATCGCGTTCTTTTTATTGTCATTTTGCATTAGGATTACATTAGTGACTTTTCGATGTGGTTATTGTATATCGTAGACGATTAATGTGAAGAATTCGTTTGAGGAAAATACTAGGATTATTTTGTAGAGGATTGGTCTGTGGTTTAAATGATGAGATAACTTGATGTTGAAATCGTTAAATATATTTAAAAATAATTAATAAATACAGAGAATGTTCGCTAAGATGCTCGGTAATTAATTAATTAATTCGCGGTAAGACTGTGTATTAATTGCTATTAACCCCTTAACCTACAACTACGGGCATAACCCGTAGTACAATGATCGGGCCAAACGTAAATATTGCGGGCATTCTCGAACGTAAATTGTAGGTTAAGGGGTTAAAATTGATCAAGACTGAGACTGAAAAACTAGTCACTCTACGATGATTTAAATTCGTCTTTGTTTGACGCTTGCACGTAGCGGCGACATTGTTTCGCCACGAGTTTATTTATTATTTCATTATGTACAGCCTAACGATGTTGATACTCCGAGGCAAAACAACATGATTTCGTTTTGTCAATCTTTTCTCCCGATAAATATTTTTATCTTTCTACACGTATCATTATGATTTTTTCTTTCACGTATGATCGCATGATGTATCCTATTTAGCATAAGAATCGTTAAAAATCAAACGTTTCATATGTAACAAGCTAATATTAATTCCGAAAGAAACGATCGTGGGAATTCGATGAATTACACGGCCAGTGACTAGTCGTAACTGAAATCCTACCCAGTTAGCCGCGATCAGTTACGTCACGAGCACCATCGAAGCACTCTCTTCTGGAAAACGTCGAAAACACAGGCGTAGAACCCAACCTAACCTCCACGCGAACGCGACCAGCCAGCGATTTCATCGTTGCGTCGCGTAGTTCTCCGCTGCGAGGCATAAAGCAATCACGCGCAGAGGATGCTATTTGCATGCAACGGTAGGTTGCAGCGGCCGGAACAATTTCGAAATTCGCGTCGAATTTTTCAATTGTCCCCCCATACCAGATCGATCCTTTTCCCGCGAAACGATATTTCTTTTTCTATTTTCTTTCTTCTTCTCGTGGCGACGCGAACGCCGTAACGTTTATTAGATCCTGTCGCGTTACGGACGTTCTTCATATCGTGTATTCTATTTCCGAGGCTGCCTGGTGTCCCGTGCTGACACCAGCAGTCTCGTTTATGCAAACTTCTCGCGCGCGTCGAGAGTTTCTGAAGCACACTCGCGTGTGCCAAATACAAGCAGCAAGGTTAGGACAATAGAGTGGATCGCGCGCAGCCTGCACCAGATACACGTTGGGCAAGAAGAATGTTGGAAGCGGTCGAGTGCACCCCTGACCGCCCCCTTTTTCGCCGCGTTAAAAACATTGTACCCTGTCGCGAATTATTGCGTACTTACCCGGCTTTAATTACATGTTCATGGTAATACAATGGCGTAAGAGGACTCTTTTGAATATTTTTTGTATACCAGTAGAATAGAAATTTACCCATGTGAAGAATATATGATTTATTTTTGCTGTACGAAGAATTAACAGTCATGTGGAAACGTTAACGTGGATGTATAGTTGGACAGAAAATTAAAAGCATTGTCTTTATCGGTGTCTAAGGTACTGATTAACACTTTGACTGTCACGTGGGTCATATATGACCTACCACGGTTTCTCCTGTGACGTCACGGTCATTGGCGACCGTAGCGCTTCAAATTTTTACGATTGTAAAAATTGTATAAAAATTGACAGTTGGGACATTTTGAATATAACCGATAAATAGAAGATACCTTGAAATAAAAAGCGCCCCATTGAACGATTAAACATTTCTGTTAGAACATCAATAAAAAAAAAATTAGAACAAACGTTGCATCTAAAATGTTAAGAAAAACTCAAATTGTCAAATATAATACTATAAATGTTACGTCGGAACTCAATTACATTGCTTAACTTGTCACGTCTCCAGTTCACTTCCCTTCCAACAAACAAAAAAATTTTTAACGTTCTGAGAACATCTTTACGCATAACATTACACTGTGAAATGGCATATTAATAACGACTTTATAAAAATTTTTTAAGCATAGAAAAATATGATTAAGTTGGAAGTAACGCAAAGAACACGGCTGTACTAGGATACAGAACATTACATAAAATTATACAATCAGTGTAAGATACTTTGTACCGCGATAGTTCTAAAGGAAATTTCCCAGAATTACGAAATCGAAGCGAGAAAGTGGCTGACGCAGTCAATAAATGTTTCCTGTAGAAATTATTGCCAAAGGAACTCTATTTCCTAAGAAAATTACTTTAAACGATACGTATTATAATTCTACGTATAATTTACGTAAGTAACATTTCATTCACAAGCGTATGGCGAGTAATCAGTTTAGAAAAAGAGGAAGACGACCGGAATTTAAAATACAAAGCGAGCAAAGGATCGTTGCAAAGGGTTAAAAAGTACATAGTGACGAGATCGATTCCGTGCTCCAGCTCGTTTTCCATTTATCCGATCCCTCTATTGAGAGCGGTCTCAAAGGAACCGTGCGAGTGACAAATACAAACCCGAAGACATTCCTCCAATGGATGTCATTGATTAATCTTAGCGTATGGATTGCAAGACGGTGAAGTAGGCAGTCAGTCACAGGCACATATACAATATGGCCACGATTTTTCACGTCCACGCTCGGATACGCCGCTTTATCACGCGTGTCGCGAAAAAAACAAACATCGAAATTGGATTACGCTGCGGCGGACGATCGGGCTGCATTATTATACATTAGAAACGTCCGTTCGATACAACGCCGGTTATTTATAATTGATTTTTCTAGACGTCCATGTCCGATAGGTTCCGCTGGTAATTGATGTCTTCAATCTTCCCTCGAACGTAACGCGGTTCTAATCGCTGTTCGATGCACTACCGAGTGTGAAAAGAAGTTGACCGTGTAATTTGTATTTTACTGCGCCGCTCTTCTGCCTGTTTTCAATGAGCGTAATGGCTAAAATTGCCTTTTTTTTCCATTAGATCGTTTTTTCCTTCTTTTTTTCCTTTTCTTTTTTTTTTCTTTTTAAGAAGCACACCGTATACGTTTGTTCAATTTACGCTGAAAGAAGCGTGTAATTTGCTCATCGTAAAAGAATGACGTGTATTCCCATTAGAATGCAACGCTGGTAATTTAATGTTCCAGCGTGTTAGGACTGCAAGCAAGTAGTTGCATAATTCTCTTTGAACTTTCCAGGATTACTGTACT